GCACTTAACAACAACAACAATATAGCCCATGGGCTGGATGTCCCCTGTTTTACATCTAAAAATACAGCCTAAAGGAATAATCACAGTTGCTCAAACAGGTTTCTCTTAGAAGAGTAGATATTAGTGAAAAGTTAGCAATGATCTAAATGTCCATTAGTAGGAAATTGGTTAAATAGTGATGTTATAACTATTATATATTGTAGAAAACACCGTTGATCGCCTATTCGTTCTCCTCCCTGGTTTATTTTTCTATGTACCATTTATTACCACCTGAGATACTAAATATGTGATTGTTTATTGTTGTCCACCCTACCAGAATGTAAATTACTTAAAACGGGAACCATATGTTTTATAAATTTTTGGTGCATCATAGGCATTTGGTAAATATATGTTGAATGAATAATCTGTTTTATGACAGCATTTTAATGTGATAAAGATTTTTTTATTATCTTAAATAGAAAACAAAAGCATTATAAAAAACTGTGTGCTAGATGTGCCCGTTTGGGATTTTAATAGGCATACATATGGTGTAGCTATAAGGAAAAACACATACCCAGAGTTTGAGAACGCACACCTTGTAGTCCAGCAGCCTGGGCTAGAATCCTGAATATAAGACCCTATTACCTGTGTGGCTGCAAGCTAAGTTGCTGCTGTTCTCTGAACTTTAGTCTTGGCATTTGTAACTGAGGTTAAAAGTTGTTCACTTTAACTGTGGTAATGTACATTTTGTATGGTATACTGCCTACCACATCATAGATGGTCCATAAATGGTAGCCACTCTTGGTATCCTTTCATCATGAAATTACAGGTGACTTGTTTTCTTCTTTTTGCTTTTGTTTCAAATTTTGTTATTAGCAAGTGTAACTTTTGTTATCAGAAATCGACAACTGTATTTTTAATTGCTAATGGAAAGTTGGTAATAGGAGCCCAGATATAAAATGTCCTAAGGAATGAAGCTAATTGAACAGTTGCTGAGCAATAATAATGCCAACAGGTGAATCAAATTGAATCCAGCGCTCAGTGTTGCTGATTTAGTGGAAGTGAGAGTAAGTTTCTGAAAGAAGTAAGAAATTTTCAGTTCCTAATCTCATACAGAAGGAGCTCTGGTAGTGTAGTGGTTACAAATCAGGCTGCTAACCTCAGGGTCAGCAGTTCGAAACTACCAGCTGTTCCGTGGGAGAAAGATGAGGCTTTCTGCTCCTATAAAGATTTACAGCCTCGGAAACCCTGTACGGTGTCGCTATGGGTCGGAACCGACTCCACGGCACGTAACAGCAACAACAATCTCATACAGATCACTCTCACAGTGTGACTGACTTCTTGTGCTGAACTCAGTGGACCAGGTGAGGGGACCTGAAAGAGGCATTTTACAGTCTAGAAGTGTGAGGAGAAAAGAGGGTCTGCTAAAAGATTAATAGATAATCAGCTCTTTTTCCTGGAGGGGGAGGGAGGAAGAATAACCAGGTAGAAGAATCTCATCACAAGGGAACACTTTTTCCCCTGCTCTCTCTTGTGGGCCATACGTGTAGTCGTGGCAGCACTAGTAACTTGAACACTTGGTAAATAACTACTATCAAGTTATATGGACACTAGGATTACCAAGCACTGGTGAGTGAGAGGAAGATGAATAATAAATGCAGTATTATTCAGCTGTTTTACCTTTTAAAAGCTGTGATGTGAGTTTATGCTTCTAGGTTAGCAATACTCAAGAGGAAAGGTACATCTGGTAAAACATTACTCTAAAGGGTATGGCTGAAGTGAGATTATAATACATATTTTATAACTTCGGGTTTTCACTTAATGGAAAATAGAACTTTGGCATATTTTCATATCAGTGCAATCATGGAAAGATTCCATTTTTTCACAAACTTTTTGAAGCCCTCTCATACAGATTTCTCCCTAGTCTCCTTAATGGCTGAATTAAATTCCTTTGTGAATGTTACACAATATCTTCACAATAATCAATGTCTAGTCCTTTCCAGTTTTTTTAAATCTTATTATAACAGTGCAGGTAGAACTCTTTATAAGAGAGTATATATAGGTGAAAACATAAACCTTGAGTGGCCATATAATTCTATCAACAACTGCAAGTTTAGTGACTTTGTCATATTATGGTACAGAATCATATAATGTGAGACTGGAAGAGAGTTGGGATGATCTTACCCAATTTCCTTCTTGTAGAGAACCTGGAGTGGTTAAAAGGATCCCTAGTGGCACTGTGGGTTAAGTGATGGCCTATTCACCGAAAGATTGTGGCCCAAGCCCACCTACAGCTCTGTGGGAGCCAGTTGAGGCTGTTTGCACCTGTGAGGATTTACAGCCTCAGAGCGTTGCTATGGGGCAAAAACAACTCATTGGCAGTGGGTTGGAGTGGGTAAACCATTTGTCCAAGTAATTGGTTAACATAGTTATTTGATGAAGCTGAGATTAGAATGCAAATCCCCTTGGTGGGGAGCTAGGATTCCTTTCACTGGTTTATACTATTTACCTACAAAATCAATCATTGTGTGTTTTTGACAAGGTGAATGTTGTAATTAATCTGTTAATAGTTCAGTATGTGCCTGTTGAAAATACAAAGCCAGCTTTCCAAATATAACATATTATTCTATTGTTCTAATGTTTGCTTCAAGTTTATGATAAGATAATATTTTTTATTTTTTAATTATAAAAAGCTATAGGTATAAGCCCTGTCAGTATTGCTTAGCAGTGATAGAAGTTATGTAGGCACTGGTGGGATTTAAACTGAGTGCTTTGACTCTGTCAGATGCAGTTTTAAAACATTCCAGGTTTTCCTTTTAATAGTCCTAAAATTTCTCAGGAGAGCCTAAGATCGTCAATACTGCTTGTAATATGTTTAAATTCTGTTTTCAATGTCTATTTTTCTTGTAGAATCCTTGGATGACTTGACTAATCTGGTAGTAAAGTTGTTTTCTGAAGTTGAGAACAAAAATGTCCCATTGCCAGAATTTCCTGAACACCCTTTCCAAGAAGAGCATCTTAAAGTAAGCTCATGTATTTCTGGTATTGTCTCTTTTTAATTTATGCACATGATATTGATATATACCAGTTTACCGGAAAGTAGATGAAACATTTTAGAGATTTCATTATTTATGTATTTAAAAATATTTGTCTGGATAACTGAATCAAATCACTTTCACATTTATTAGGGACATTGTTGTTGTTAAGTGTCGTCAAATCAATTCTGACTTGTAGTGACTCTGTATAGAGTTTCCAAGTAGTGACTGGTGGGTTTAGAACCACCAACCTTGTGGTTAGCAGTCTAGTGCTGATCTTACAGTGTCACACTAGGGACATACATGACCAAAAAATGTCAATATGTTCTGATCACTCCATGCTAAAAGTAGTTTTGGTAACTGTAGCTTTGGTAGACTTTAGATGCTATCATCTTGAGCCAGAGGCTAGCATTCAGAACTACTTAGATGCTTGCTCCATGGAACCAGACATAGGCTGCATACCAACTGGTATAAAATTCCACTAAGAAAGAACCAGGACCCTTTATTTCTTTGTGGTTGTTGTCATTTTCTTTGCAATTGATTCTCCTAAATTTGAAATTCTTCCATAAAAATCCATGTTCTTCTTAGTTAGTAAATATTCAGTAGGAGTTATATTTAGCTAATCTTCTGTAATTTTTTTTTTCTTTCCCCAGCAACTTTATAAAATAGTACCCATTAAGGATATTAGGAGTCTTTATGTGACATTTCCCATACCTGATCTTCAGAAATACTACAAATCAAATCCTGGCCATTATCTTGGTCATCTCATTGGGCATGAGGGCCCTGGAAGTCTATTATCTGAACTGAAATCAAAGGGTAAGTCTTTGGGGCACCACCTTCTGAGGGTAGTGCCCTGTCACATCTTTTCATTCTGTTTTATTTTCTCCTAAATGTTTTCCTTTGAAGGAACATTTTTGGATGAGACAGTCAGGGCCAGTGGCACAGTGAGATGATTGTTATAGTGTGCTTTTGTTTTTTGAGGTTTTATGTAATTTATTTTACCCTTTAATATTAACAAAGCTTAGATATTTCAAAAGATATTGTGGTGCATATTAAAAGTGAGATCTTAAAGCTCACGTTGGATATGTTTACTATCTTTGTGAAATAAGACGTTAGTGTACTTCCTTAGCTGCCTACTCTTGATGAAACTAGAATTGTTTACAGTGTAGGAACCTGAACTCAATGGGACTGCCTTAGTTTTTCTGGGTCTACCAAGTTTTCCACCTTTGACAGGGTGGAATGTCATCACTTTAGTGTGTTAGTAGAAAATATTTTAAGTTTTTCTTCTCCGACAGGTTCCCATCTTACACAGGTTCTGGGTTTTGCTCATTTTAGTGTACAAAATTCCAGTCAATAGATGATTTACAAGGCCCTTGTAAACTGACTCTTTTCTTTTGTATAACATTTAAGCATTTATTTTACTCTTGATTTAGTAGCTTATGAAACTGCTTTTCTCAACTAATACCCCCTGCCCTCCACTGCTCCTACCAGCCCCAGCCTTTTCTGCAAGAAATCCATTCTGATCTTTTGGGAATATATAGTGTGATATTTTAAATTTTTCATTCTTTGTCTTATGAAACCATACAAGCAAGCATGTTGATTTCCTATGAACATTGCAGGCTGGGTAGACACTCTTGTTGGTGGACAAAAGGAAGGAGCCCGAGGTTTTATGTTTTTTATCATTAATGTGGACTTGACTGAGGAAGGATTATGTAAGTATTAACTATTTGGCTTTTAAATGAATAATTGGCTTCCTATGATTTCTTTTAAACTTCTTTATGCTTTGAGTCTGTTGGTCTGTTTTATGTTGGAAAGTTATAAAAACACTTAAATTCATACAATTTATTCATTACATTTTTTGTGTGTAACTTGACCTTTGTTTCATGAATGATTTCCCACCCTTAAAAAGGGATCGTTATGTCATGCTTTGTAAAATGTGTACTTAGCTTCTCATTTGCTCATTCACTACCACAGAACTCTTTCTGTCACATCTCTCTGAGCTCAGAGGGCCATATAGGAGGGACACCTAAAAGCAGTCTTAGGGAGGTGAGACTTCATTTTCTAAGAGGGACCATCTTCCACTTACCTGACTTAGCCTTAGGAGTGAGCTCACTGCTTTGAAGGATTCAAGGATTGAATGGTTTTTAAGTGTGCCCCTTTTTTCCAGTACATGTTGAAGATATAATTTTGCACATATTTCAATACATTCAGAAGTTACGTGCAGAAGGACCTCAAGAATGGGTTTTCCAAGAGTGCAAGGTACCTTTGTTTCACCAAAATTTTTCTTAAGGAATCTATTTTTCAAAAACCAAATATTTGAATTAATTTGAATTTAAAACCCAGTTAAAAATTTAAATTTTAATTTAAAAAATTAAATTATAAAATTTTGTAATATATAATAGTAATATTGAGGCTTTGTTTACTAGTTTGATTGGCTACCTGGAACACAGTTAAGGGTTAAGGCATCATGTAGCCTTTTTTTAGGAAGGAAAAAGGAAGCCATTAGATTACCTTTCCATCCTTTCGAAGAAACCCAGCTATTCCCTGCGCTGGTATATGTCAGGTCTTATTTTACTTGCTGCCTGAAAGCTGCATGAACTTTGCTATTTTCAGATCTGGTGATTAAAAGCCATAGCAACCATCTCAGAGGAATAGTGAATTGTTTTATATTACATATGAGGGGTTTTCAAAAAGTCATGGAAAATGTGTATTATAAAAAACTGCATGGATTTCAATTTTTTTTTTTTTTGCATAAAAATAAATTCATACTAATCTTGATATATGGACTTCTGGTGTGCCGCTGTAGGATCAGCACTGGACTGCGAACCCCAAGGTCAGCAGTTCAAACCCACTAGCTGCTCCTTGGAGACCCTATATAGGTTTGATAAGAGTTGGAACTGACTCAACAGCACTTAACAACAGCTTGTTATCTAACATATCTAAACAGGATATAGTATGAGGCATTAAGAAGAATAAGACATTAGTTTGAAAAGAACTCATCAGAATAACAGAATTCTGCTAAAATTGAAGCAAGAACAAACATCAAATTTATGGTGAAGCTTGGATAGAAGAATGGTGCAATCATTGATTGAATACTTCATGAAAACTTTATGAGGGTATTGCCCCCCAAAGAACCCAGCAGTGTACAGATGAAGGATCGAGATGAAGTTGAAGATAAAGCCCACAGCAGCTGACCATCCACATCCGATTGTAAGGAAACTATCTTGTTTGAGCTCTAATTAAAGATTAGCAGCAACGCCATGAACATCTGTTGGTTCAGTTTAAACAATTCTGACTAAACCCAAGTTGAGCAAACTTTTTGTCCAATGAGTGTCAAACCTATTGCACCCAGATCAGCTGCAGGCAAAAACAAAGCTTTCCATGGAAATTTTTAAACAAGTGGGATCAAGATCTTGATGCATTTCTTTGAAGAATTTTAATAGGAGATGAAACATGACAGCAAGATCCTGTCAGTCCAATCAAATCAATGACCACCAATATGTGCAAGTGGTCTAGTCAAAGCAAAAACGGATTGATCGAAAACAAAGATCATGGCAGCAACTTTTTTTTTTGGATATTCAAGGCATGTTGGTGCTTGATGTTCTGGAAGGTATCTGCTTATTATGAGAGTGTTTTGAGAAAGTTAGCCAAAGTTTTAGCAGAATAATGCCTGGGAAGTTTTCACCAGAGTCTTTCCCCACAACAGTACTCTCATCAAACAAGGGCTATTCAGCAAGTTTCAACAGAAGTCATGAGGCTTACAGCCCTGATTTGGCTCCTTCTGACCTCTTTTTGTTTACTACTCTTAAAAAATGTCTAAAGGGAACCCGTTTTTCTTCAGTTAAGAATGTGAATGCATGGAAATGATTTAATTCACAGGACCCTCAGTTCCTTATGGATGGATTAAATGACTGCTGTCTTCACTTAGACAAGTCTTCACCGTGATGGAACTTAAGTTGAGAAATAAAGTTTATATTTTTGTTTTTACCATTTAATTCCATTTTCCCACAAACTTTTTGAAGGCCCCTTGTGTGATTATTAAAGTGAATTTATTATTGCACATTTGGAAAAATCTCACTATCTTTATTTTTGTTTTTTCCCCACTTAAAAAAAAAGTATTCCAAATTTTTAAAGGCTTTAAAAAGGGTTATCAAAGATAAGTACTTTATACTTAAGTCCTATCAGGATGCTGAAATATATTTTAGTATGAAAGACAGCCTCTTTGCTTAAGTAGAATTTTAAAGATATAATAAACTCTGCTTGTGAAAATGATGACCGTATCTTAATCTGGGTGCAGATTAGATTCCTGGATGAGTCACAAAGTCATCATCTGTGAAACTGATGGAGCTCAACCAGGTTCTCCTACACAGTTTCCTTACCTTTTTTACTAATGGTTTCCAACAATTTAGGGGATAGGATCATATTCATTATTTTTATTAAAAATTGTTACCTGTGTTTCTTTTGGTTTTAAGCCTAGGTTGATGAATTGAATTTTATACATTAAGAAATTTTCAGTCTGTGTTGTAGACGTTTCTAAATCAAGCTTAAGACATCTTTTCACAACATGTGATAAGTTGCATATGGAGCAGTTTCGCCCATTATTGTTGTTACTGTGCAAAACAAATACTAAAAGAAGTTACTTCTAAATAATGGGTTTATGTCTTATTAATTCTCCATTTTAGGACTTGAATGCTGTTGCGTTTCGATTTAAAGATAAAGAAAGGCCCCGGGACTATACATCTAAGATAGCAGGAATATTGCATGTAAGTTTGTTATTACTGTGTACATTGAAGTGTCGATGTAGTACTCTCAGTACTACATATAAGATAAAAATTGAAGTCAAGACATGTTTAAAAATCTTAATTTTCACCATCCAAAAATTTATCATCTGTAATTTTTTGTTATTAAGTAAGTACTCCTGGTGTGGCACTGTAGAATCAGCACTGGACTGTGAAGTTCGGTAGTTCAAACCCACTGCTGCTCCTTGGAAACCCTATACAGGGTCGCTATGGGTCCGAACCGACTTGAGGGCACTTAACAAAAACATCGATGACAAGCATTTGGTTAATTGACTTTGAATAGCTTTCCAGTTCTCCAGTGTGTCAAGTGCTGCCTGTGTGAAAGACAAAGATCATTCACTTGTCTCCACCGTCATCGCTACCTTTGCTCAAACTATCTTTGTTTCTTCCCTGGACTACCACAATAGTGTCTTCCTAGGATCCCTGATTTCCTTCTTGTCCCTGTTTTTTTCAGCTTCAGTGTTCTTTTGAAAACCAAAATCAGATTATTTCCTTCCTCTGCTTCAAATCTTCCAATGCTTTCCTATCCAAGTCGGAATTTTACCCTTGCCTACAAGGATATTTGGCTCCAGCTTACTTCTTAAACTGCATTTCTTACCACTTTCTTTCTCTAGGCTACCTTTTCCGCTCCTATACTATTCCAGATATACTGCTGTTTATCTAATCTTCAAGCTTTGACTTTACTCCTCCTGCATAGGGTTGTTACATTTGCTGTTTTCTCTACCTTGACGCTCTTTCCCCCTGATCTTTGCATGACCAGGTTCATCCTGTCATTTGGGCCTTCACTCAGGTGTCTCACGCCCAGAGAGGCCTTCCCTAACTTCTCTCTGAAAGAATCACATGCGTATCACTAACTAAAATGATAGCATCTGTGTTTATTGTCTGCCTCCCTTCCAATGAGAATATAAGCTCTGAGGAGAACAGGGGCTTCATCTGCCTCATCTACCATTGTTGCTGCAGTACTTGAGGACAGTGCTTTGCACAGAATGGGTGTTTATTAATGATTGTTGAATCAATGAATTGGTCAGACTATTCCTATATATATATTGAAAGTTGCTCTTACTAAAAAGCATTTTCTACATACGTGTTGGGCTGCCAACTGCAAAGTCAGCAGCTTCAGTCCCCCAGATGCTCTTCTGGGAAAAAAATGAGGCTTTCTACTCCTATAATGATTTACAGTTTTGAAAATCCTATATAGGGTCATTATGAGTCAGTACCAAGTCAGTAGCATGATGTTGTTTTTAAGTGTCGTCAATTTGGTTCCGACCCATAGCAACCCTTTATAGGGTTTCTGAGGAATGGCTGGTGAGCTTGAACCAATGACCTTGTGGTTCAAATAATGATCTCTCAGTCCAGCTCATTGCCCCACAGCACCACACCAGGACTCTCAATGGCATATAGCAGCAGCCAAAAATAGAAATTATTTTTTTCTGCAGCAGTTTCATAAATACTTGTCTGATTTCCTTTGTAGAAATTTAAGAGGAAATTCTCTTCATAAAAATGTGCTTTCTGAATATTAACAATCCTGTAGGTGTCAGCATTCTACCATCAAATTTTGTCCATCAGAGGCACTCAGTTTTTTTGCCAGAAATAAATGTGAGTTTCCCTTTAAATTGTAGATGCATTTGAGAATTAACTCCAAATCATTCTACAGTATGAAACTACATTATGCTGTAGATAGACAAGAGAAAGATTCAGGACTGCAGAAACTTTAGCAGTGGAGTAAAATTTAATTGAAAGGAAAAGAGGAAATAATGATTTAATGTGTTAAAAGAGCTGTTTGTTTTAATAAATATTAAGACTCTCTAAGAGTCTTGCAGACTTTATTTAGTTACTTTTTTTCTTTTCAAAGCTGTATCCTCTAGAGGAAGTGCTCACAGCTGAATGTTTGCTGGAAGAATTTCGTCCTGATTTAATAGAGATGGTTCTTGATAAGCTCATCCCAGACAATGTTCGGTGAGTTACCTTACACATTTTCTTGTTGTTATATACTAAATTTTCTATAATGATTAGACTCTGAAATTTTAAAATTGTGAATAGTATGTTATTAAACTTTGTATCAAGTGTGACCCAAAAGTAGAGAGAATCAGCACCTAGCTTCAACAGTTCTCAGTACATGACCAGTCTTAGTCCTCTGTACCCATCCCTTCTCACTCATCTTCTCCACCCTAGATTATTTGGAAGCAATATCTCTAAAACATTTTATAAATCATCATTTAATAATTATAAATAAAGCATTAAAGAATGCTATCTTACCCTTCCTTCATTCAAACTTAAATAGACAAAATATCAACTCAGTTTACTTATCTGGCTCCTGTAAACGAATGAAGGCACCTTTTTTTTTTTCCTTAAATGTGAGGAAGGATCATAATCTAAGAATCCTTCTGACTGACTAGTGTTAATCAGTAGATAAACTGTTGGATGTCTCAGCAATAACAGAGGTATTCTTGCTAGAAGAAGGACAGCCTTGAGGAGCTTATGCTATTAATATCTTGAAATTTAATTTCTTCTGTATCTTCTGAAAATAATGATAGAAGTATACTTGAATAGTATGTGACTTTATTCTTTTTTTAAAACTTTTTACCTCTGTTAGATGTATATTTCTAAAATTCTAATATGTACTTTACAATTAAATAAATATGTCATATGGAGCAGTCGTTGTGTGGCGCTGTGGGTTAATATGCCAGACTTGCTCGGCATTTCAAGCTCACCAGCTGCTTCTCGGAAACCCCATACAGGGTTGCTACAGGTCGGAACTGATTCAACAGCACTTAACAACAACAATGGAGCAGTCATTTTGTAACAAAATTGATTTTTAGGTTTTTTTTTTCCCTCTGAGTTGGATGGAGATTTATGGAGTAAATTCATTTTCCAGTCAACAGTTGATACATCTTGTTTTCGTCTCATCGTCATCCTCACAGTGTCACATCCAATAACTCACTTTCTCCCGGTGTTTCCTGTTTCCATGCCTCTGCCTTTCCTAACCCTTCTTAACTTTGTTCTTGGATAAATGCTGCCCTTTTGATCTCAAATGGTTGATTATTCTAAGATATGCTTATTAATACAGGGAACATGTTATCGCTCACCTTGTAGACCTGTTTATTATTTAGATGAAAATTGAACTTCGGAGGTGAGCTCAGTGAGCTCAGTTCCAAAGGGTACCTAAGAGTCATAGTCTGGGAAGTTCCACAGTCTCTGTCCAACCAGTAAGCTGGCCTTTTTTTTTTTTATAATTTTGAGTTTCATTCCACATTTTTCTCCCACTCTCTTCAGGACCTTCTAATATGATCTCTTTCAGAGTAGTTGATAGAGATAGCTGGGCACCATCTAATTTTTTGAAGAAGAAAAAATTTGTATCAGTCTTTTTCTAGTTACCATAGTGTATGCCTTTCCCAGGTATATAAAAGTTCACTGGCTACAATTCCACGTATATGACTTTTACTATATTGTTTATGTTGAGAGCAGTATTGTATACAGTCAGGTGGGTTTGGCCTACCTATTGTCAATTTAATTTCCTTGGCTCTTGCCCAAATAGTGATATTTTATCTTTATATCTGATGCAAAATGGTTATGTAAAGTTGAAAAGTGCTGTACAAATACAAGGCAATGCTATTTAAGATTATATCATACAATAAGGATGTGCTTTTTTTATAAGGAAAATCACGATTTAGATTATGTTCGCATAATTTTTGCTGCTTTAGAGCCAGTAATTTGTCCCAATCAACACTGTAGGAGTGAATTTGCAGGAATATACATTTTACTTTTGTTTAAATTGCATGTTTCTAAATTTAATACCTCTTGCAATTATAGTTAAGTACGTCTTATTCTCGCTACCTTCACCTTTAAAGAAAAAACCCCACATTTTTTCTCTACAGGATTGATCTTTGTGGCTGTTAGAACTATATCTACAGAAGCAGATCAGTGATATAGTGCAGAACAGCCTGGGATAGTACTGCCAGCTGCTAGGCCAGACTCGGGTTGTTTTCTAAGATTACTTTCCTCCTACCCACTGGGACGAGTTTAACATAGCAATCAGGTAGGGAAATCAATAGGAAAATCCTTCAGAATTAATGGCAAGAATATTCCAAACCTGAAACCCAAACCTTATGTTATCAAGTCGATTCTGACTCATAGTGACCCTATATAGGATTTCTGAGTCTGTACGTCTTTACGGGAGCAGAAAGCCTCATCTTTGTCCCGTGGAGGTAGAGTTGAACTCTCTCCTTGTGTTTAGCAATTCAGTACTTTTTCCACAGTACTACGAGGGCCCCTTAAAGGAATATTGTTGTTAAGTGCTGTCCAATCAGTTCTGACCTATAGCAACCCTGTATAGGGTTTCTGAAGAGCTACTGGTGAGTTTTAATTGCTGACCTTGTGGTTCAAAGGAATATTGTTGTTGTTGTTGTTGTTAAGTGCCATCGAGTTGGTTCCGACCCATAGCG